CCCCTGAGCCGGTCCCTGCAAGGGGGTGGGGCGGGGGGGGGGGGACGACTGGATTCTCCCCTCTCTGATCCTCCAGCGCTGACTGGCGGAAGGGAGGGGGAGGGTACAGCTGGCTCTGCCTCTAGATAGGCAGAGCCAGCTGTCACTCACGCAACTGGGCGGATCAAGACATAATTGTCAGGATCCGTTTCAGCTGCGGCGTCTCAGTATACAGAGCTTTGGGTGACGGGAGGACACTAGTTTGTGTCCTCCCGTTACCCTAAGGAGAACTATGGGGAAAAGCCCTAACCCCATAGTTCTCCTTTAAGAACAGCCAATAATAACCTTAATGACACTGATCTCTGCAGCATTTCAGGATCAGATGTCACTAAGGCCTGGTTCATCGTTTCTGCACTTTTTATGCCTGCAAAACAGGCATTTTCAAGCGGTCCCTATTTTTTTTGCCCTATTCAGGGGCAAAAAAAAAATAAGCTCATGCACTTTTCAAGCGACAGGCATTTTGCTTATTGCGACAAAACGGTCAGATGTGAACAGGGTCATAGAGATGAATGGGATTTTTTTTTCTTTTAGGGCAGCAAAAGCGCTACAAAACTCAGAGTGAACCAGGACTTACAGAGCCCATAATAGCTGATCACATACAGTGTACATGAGCAATCATTTGGGCACTTTGTGGCGGGGACGTACAGTGTGCGTTTCCACCACAAAGGGGTTAAAGGATAGGGTTTCCAAATTATACAGTTCAGTGGAGTTTAAGGCTTTTAGGATACATACACGTTGTTTTCAGTGGACCAGCAATACAAATGAGTAAACTAAACATGAGACTGTAGTCCATCACAGGAGCGAGCTTGAAGCGGTGGCTACTTTACAACACACACAGGGACTATGGAGAACAAAAGTAGCCACCCTCCAGAAGGAAGGACAGTGTGAGCACCAATTCAGAGATGATTTGAGGATCTACAGCCGAATGATACACAAATAAGATACATTTTTATTAATAGTTAAAAAGGTATTTGAACGTATTTTTAAGATTGAACTTGTAGCGTCACCCTTCTACACCTCACATGAGTGTGCATTCTCTCCTCCTGCAGGAAATCAGCAATTTCTGGAAACTGAAGTGTTATAGATTAAAACAACTGGGTCTTTTAACCGACCAGTTGACTCCCAAATTGACTGCTCTTTCCTACACTCGTGTCAAGGGCATGCAATAACCCTTCTCAGACCTGTGAGGAATTCAACACCTCAGCAAGGGGTAAAAAAAACACCCAGCATAGAAACTCCCATTCCCCATACACCAAATATCAGGTGTCCCAAAAACACTGTGCGAAGGGGGGGGTTGTGCGAAATGGTGTGGCGGTGACATCCTTTTGCAAACATGTATATCTTCACGGCACCATCCGTGGTCACTACAAGCATCCACTACAATTTCAAGGAACATCCTATACCGGTAATGAGTGCAGCAAGACACCTATATTTAACTTATAGAAAGATTAGCATGTCACACTTCAGCTCAGTTTGCATAGAATGGACACCTCACAAGCAGCTTTTTTTGGACGTGAGAAACCTGTGTAAAAGTCTGTCCACACCCATGCAAGATTTACTTGCCAATATACAATGTGTAATGAGTATTAGATGACAAACATCTTTGTCAATGAGAAATTAAAAAAATAAAAGGACTCTCACCCCAGGTAACTTTATTTCAACCATTTCAAAATGACATTAGAGGCACAATATTATATAAAGGCTATGTGTTACTTCATTCAAACCTTCGCCACCCAAAGAGCTAGGAATTGCATGTACAGTCTGACAGACTCAGACCAATTTATAAAAACTAGAGCCAAAGAGAAACAGGGCAGCTGCTTAAAGCCAACAGTCAGCTTTTGGCTTTCATTCCCTAAACTGGAGGAGAAAACCAGATCATCAAATGGGTAGAAATGAGCAGCAGCTCCAGTTTTCATAAATCAGTCTGCCTATACATTATTTTCATGCGAAAACAGAAAACCTTCTCTTATAACTCCGACATCCAGTAGATATTTTTTGTACAAACTCAATAAAACAATGCCTTTCTGTAGCAAACAAAAACTTATGCAAATAGGAAAAAAAAGCTTGCATTTTAGAATTAGTCTCAGAAGGGTGCAGTTATGTATACATCAGGTTACAATCACTATTCACTAAATACACAACAGTTACAGTCTGTATGGTCCTTTATTTGTAAATTCTTTCAGGCTCCTCCCAATATAGGAAGAAGAAAAAAAAAAAAACACCCCTCACAATGTAATTGTAGTGCATCAAACAAGGCAAAAATAATCCTCAAAATAAGAAAAAACACTAATGGAGATGTCTGAAGCCATCAAAAGAATACAACCTTTTGGATTACAGTTGGTTTTATTGAGAGGAACAGTCTTTAAACAAAAGTCAGTGTAGAGAGAAAAAAAAAAAGCTTAAAAAAAAATTAAAAATAAAGTGTGAAGGCAGCCAGCAATGACGTTAAAATTCTCTGGATGACACGATGTGAAGAAAAACTGATAATAATGTGGCACCTCACAGGTGGCAAGAATGTAGAGCAGCCGTAAACCCAAAGTGAAAACTGGTACCCAGACGGCAAAGCGAACAATTCAAGACACATCTGTAAAAATAAATACATTTGATTACAGTATACAGACATGGGCAACGTTACAAATGACTATTTAATAAATACAAAGTGTAAGTGACTTGGTGCTCTCGGATGTCCTCCCTCATTACTACAGAGCAGACCCGCACACTTATCCTGTCTGTACTCCACCAAGATTTGCTCAGTGCAGCACAACATCCTATTGAAAAACCTTTACTGGGTCCAGCTCCTCCCAACCATGCGCACCGCAACCTAAATTCATTTCAATGCAGATTCTATCATTTGCACATCCGATGGGGTACAAACGTTTTACTGGAATGAATAAAGCTTGTGGTGTGCATGCGCAGAATGAGCAGAACCTTCCATGGCCATTATCTCTATATCTACTTTAATATTTCAGAATTCACTGACTTAGGTCCCCAAGTGGCCAAAGTGATACAGATGATCACACTTATAATACACAAGCCACACTTTCAGCATGGAAGTAATGATACACTTCATCTCAAAGTCATCTCCCTCCAAATAACCTGGGTGCCTCTCAGCAGATCACAGGCACCTGCCCTTTGAGAGCGAAGCAACAAGATTGCTTAAATCACCATATACTTACCTTGCCTATGTTCCTCCCATTGCTTCATTCAGCAAGGAGTATGAAAGGAAATACCTGGGGTATAGAGAAAAGCAGGTAACTGGGCCAATCAGTGCTGACACACATGAACCCTGTATAAGCAATCTGAAGCCAACACAGGACTTTCCTCTTACTTCTGGCAGCTGAATGGAGCAGCAGGGAACTAAAGAAAGGCAAGAATAAGAGTCTGGTGGAAGCTATTGCTTGGGCAAAGCACCAATTCACTTTAAAGTACATGTTCACTTTAAAAAGGAGAACTATGAGGCGAGTGCTTTTCACTCAACCTCATAGTTCTAGCCGACCTGTGACAATGAGACTGTCACAGGTCGGCTCAGTAGATCGAGAGGGGAGGGAACACATACTGGCGTTCGCTCACCTCTCAATCCTGTCACGGCTCTCTGCCGTGACAGGGGAGGGGCTGGATTCCCCCCTCCCCGCTCAGATCCGCCAGCGCTGACTGGCAGAACGGACCGGGGAGGGGGCGGGTACAGCTGGCTCTGCCTCTTAGATCGGCAGAGTCAGCTGTCAGTCACGCAGCTGGGCGGATCCCGGCACAATTGTCGGGATCCGCTTCAGCGTCTCGGTATACCGCGAGCAGCAGCTTGCAGTATACTGAGCTTAGAGGGACTGGAGGACGCTAGTTTGTGTCCTCCCGTTACCCTGAGAACTATGGGGAAAAGACTTAACCCCATAGGTCTCCTTTAAGTGAACATGTACTGTATATACTTGGCCACCCCCCATTACCAGTGTGCGTGCAAAACAACCACTTAGCTCTCAGCTCCAGCCATCTACAATGTATGCCCTGTTCAGCCTTTCTAGCAGCGCAATCACCTGTTGGCCCATCTTCACAGTTCACACAGGCACTGTGGCCTATTCATTCCTATGGGTGAGGTGTATTAGGCTGGACAACTGAAAAATGGCTCACAGTCTAGAAAAGCAGAAGCTGGACACAAATCTCTGCAACAAATAATATAGTAATAAGAAGAAAAACAAATCGGCAACTTACAACTTGCAGTCCTTGTCCCGTACCGTCGCATAATCTGATCATGTGTAAATTTCACAAAGGATTCATATTGTTCTAGGAAAAGAAGAAAATGCTTGTAAAAGAAGCAGAGAAGGATTTTAAAACATCAACCTCAGTCACACCAAGTAGGATTTCTTTGTAGGTTTTAGAATATTTAGTGGATCTCACCACCAAAATGAAGGAAATGTCCGCAGCCGAGGAGCTGCTGCTCAACTTAGAAGTTCTGATCAATTCAATTGGATGGACTAAGCTTCCATGACGATGCTAAAAGAATTTCAGGCAGAGCAGCAGATTTTTCTGTACTTGCAGGGTTGTTAAAGCAATAAAACATGGAAAACAGTGTTGCAGAGATGCACTGTATGGTTTTTGAGCTTTTTTTGCTTTGGGCCCAGACATACACTTCAGGAGAATCCATAAGGACAGATGCCACTGCTGACAGCACAATCTCTGGGGCAGCCATTCTCATATTTGCTTCATTAATCACTCACAAGAAGCCTGACTTGCATGCTTATTCAAGGTCAGTAACATGCTAATTTAAGTAAGGCTTGGGATGGAAGGCCCTAAGCATGCATCACAAGTGGCAGCTCCCATGCTGGATTTCTGCCCTGACACAAGATCCAACCATTGCTTACTATAAAAATGGGGAAAACCTGAAGAGTGCCATTTCCAAAAAGTGGTTTTTTTTTTTGTTTCTACGTTTGATTTTCAAAAAGTAGCTTCCAAATACTAAGCAACTGTGCCAATGCCGTATGTGGAACACAATGCTATTAATGTGCTGCAAATGAGGGGGCTGCCAACAAAAGGCAGACCTTAAAGGCTCATTCACACACAACACAAGCAAAATTGTGTATTGAGTCTATACACGTCTATACGTGCACTATATGCAATCCCAGAATGCATCACTCGTAATGGAACTTTTAATGTGCTGTGCGCGTATATGCATGTAAATACGCAGAAATACGCTGGCCGGATGCATCTCTGTTCCATTCTGTTTTTGCGCATATATACAGCTCTATACGCAGCTGTGTGTATGGAGACATTTATTTGCATAGGTTGCATATGGTACAACACACATACTTCCCAAACCTGTCATCAAGTCCCAGAAACGGTTTAGGTTGTGTGGTTATCCACACAGGTAGCCGAAAGGCATTGCTGGTGCATTACTTTGCCAGAATACATGCAAGTACTAAATGCATCAGGCTTTTAGCATCTACCATCTTTGGAAACGCTGGACAAAACAGCGAACTGTAGTCCCATCTACACCCTGTCATATGACAGACTGTTGTGTGAACAGATCCACACTAGCAGGAGCAGAAGTAAGACATCTCAAGAGAGAATATTGGGAACAGTAAAGGCTGCAGGCCAAGTTGGGCAGATCTGCTTGCAGCTTGAACGGGAACACTTTTGCTAGTTATGTCTCAAAACAAAAACATAAGCAGTGTTCTTTATCAAGCTTAGCTAAGTTTAAAATGCAGAGTAGCTCAGAAAAACAAAATGGTTCGGCAAAAAGGGCAGACACCAACCTTCTAGTTTTGTGTTGAGAATCTGCTCATATTTTTCCCTAATCTTATCTTCATGGTCCTTCAGTAGACGTTCACACAGAATTCCTACTTGTCGTAAGCTGAATGTTGGTTGGTCTTTCTTCACCAGTGAACCTGCAAAGCAATGGAATTGGGAGATGCGTCTCAGTTTTACTTTGCCAGGACTGTTCTCAAACACAAAACCACATGCACACACACTAAATGAAAACAACAATACTTGGAACCAATGCAGAGTGCCTGCAAGAAAAGCATGACCCAACTCCAACTGCGCATAGTCAACTGAGATTAACATGTCACTAACTCCAAAACAGACTTCAGGCACAGGAATACTAGATGGGGATAGGGGGGTCTGGAAATGGGGGTATGGTTAATAGATGGGGATAGGGGTCTGGAAATAGGGGCATGGTTAATAGATGGGGATAGGGGTCTGGAAATAGGGGCATGGTTAATAGATGGGGATAGGGGGTCTGGAAATAGGGGCATGGTTAATAGATGGGGATAGGGGGTCTGGAAATAGGGGCATGGTTAATAGATGGGGATAGGGGTCTGGAAATAGGGGCATGTTTAATAGATGGGGATAGTGGTCTGCAAATAGGGGCATGGTTAATAGATGAGGATAGGTGGGTCTGGAAATGGGGGCATGGTTAATAGATGAGGATAGGTGGGTCTGGAAATGGGGGCATGGTTAATAGATGAGGATAGGTGGGTCTGGAAATGGGGGCATGGTTAATAGATGAGGATAGGTGGGTCTGGAAATGGTGACATAACTACAGGAAGACTTGCTCATTTAGATTCAATGGGGTAGATTTGTGGATTAGAATCCTGCAATGCATCTACCTCAGATTTCATGCCAATAACTCTTTATTCACCTGTGTGCATATCCATTTTGTTTCACTGCATAAAACGTGATAGCGGACAACTTTTAAAATAACCTTCTGTGTGCCCTTTGATTTCTCTTCAATCAAGAAGCTATTCTTCCATTTACAAGGCTCTCATTGCTCTTCTACAGTGCGGTCATTACCTGGTGACGATGGAGCTGTGAGAGATGTACTGGCTTGAACCTCACTGGAGTGTCCATTTTCAGTTTGGTTGAAAGCTCCTTCTAGCTGCCGTCGTCTATGGTAGCGTGTATATTCCTGTCTCAGGTTCTGAAAGATTTGTTCTTGAAGACAAACAAAAGCTGTAAATAAGCAACTGCCACATGCAAGACTTACTAGGCACATATTGCAAAAGTCTTTCCTAATAACCTTCAGCGACTGAAATAGAATATCCACATGTCAATATGTCAGGTCATTTATAATGGTCTTTCCAATGTGTTGTCCAACAGGAAAACTGATGAACCCATCTTCTTAGAGCTCAACATCTGCATTTAGGCTGTGCTGGCCATTTTCCTCAGGGCAGCCTGAATGCAAGACAAGGCAATTTGCCTTGTCATGGGTGGCGACAGTTCACACGACTGCGCTGGTGTGTGCTTAATAAAAATACGCCATGCAGGACTTTTTCTTTTTTAAGGTCACCACAGTGAGACGTGTTACAACAGCATCGCACCACGGTGAGCACATAGCACTTAATCAAATGTCACTTGTGACATCTCAATAAAGTTCTAACAAAAAAAACAGTGCAATGTGACTTGATCGAGCACATCGGCACTCTCCGGGCACAAGCACATGGGTGCTTGAAGAACCCTCAAGAAACAAATTCTGTTTTCGGTTCCTTTCAGTACTAGAGATCTATGAAGGCCCGCACTCTTGGAAGCATCTCTGCTGGAGGGACGACTTAACCTCCTTTAGTACAGTTCAAGGGGCCATGTCTTAACACACTACCACTTAAGCACCATTTGCTCCAAGTAGTAAAAAGGATCCCACTGAGGCGACAGCTTCGTTGCCGGATGCCAGACAAAGTGCAGACTCATCAATGTAATGGGTACGCTAACACATTGTGCACAGAGTAGTGCAAGAAGACCTCAATGAAGTCATTCGAATTTCCATAAAAATCACTAAAAAGGACTTACTGATTTAAATGCACATTTCCAACAATACTATACAAAGCGAGAAGTATATTGAATGATAGGCCATCACTTCTAGACCTTAAATGCACTTTAAAATGAAAGAGGACCTTGTATACTTTCAGGGTGCTCACCTAGGCACAGGCAAAAGGTGCCAATACCAAATTCTGCAAGAACACACACCTATGCCACTAGATTCAAGGACCACATTAAAGAAACATTGAAATGAGAAAAATTGTTCACCATCTTGGCAAAGTACTACCGTCTGTGGGTTTTTCTGTGTCTCTGGCCTGGAACAAGAATGTAGCAAGTGAAGTCAAAACCCCATATTTGCATACACATTTTGGACAATGACACCAAGTATGAAACCACTGGATCAACAAGACAGTCAGGTAAAAAGCATCAAAATATGTATGTCATAAGACTTTTATTAAATGCCCCATGACATCTTAATGTGTGTTATGATGCACGGTGACATCCAATAAAAAATGCATTGCTATGCGACAAGGCACCCACACTACTTGACATGGATTTTAACGTGAAACACATCAGGAGGAAAAATTACATTAAAGGAGAACTATGAGAGGAGTGATTTATACTCATCCTCATAGTTGTAGCCGACGTGCGACAATGAAACTGTCACAGGTCAGCTCAATAGATCGGGAAGGGAGCGAACACATACCGTCGCTCGATCATGTCTCTGCAGAGAGATTTCCCCCCCCCCCTCCCTGCTCCGATCCTCCAGCACTGACTGGCGGAACGGACGGGGGCGGGTACAGCTGGCTCTGCCTCTATATAGGCAGATCCAGCTGTCACTCACACAGCTGGGTGGATCTCCACAGTAATGTCGGGATCCGCCCCGGCTGCGGCGGTCTCAGTAAACTGCGAGCTGTAGCTTGCGATATACTGAGCTTTGGAGCTTATGGTGTGCTGGTGACATTCTTCTATCATACTGAGCTTTGGGTCATGGGAGGACGCTAGTTTATGTCCTCCTTTGACCCTGAGGAGTACTATGGGGAAAACCACTTACCCCACAGTCCTCTTTTAATGTGAATCAAACCCCAAAGCATTAGAAACTCAATCCTGCACAATTAGCAATCTCACAACTGGAGACAGCTTGTGCAGAATCATTCTTTTCTTCAGCCTGTGATCTCATCTTACTACATCTGCCAGTCACAGTTAGGTGCTAGATTCAGTGACTTGAATGAAGAATCACCCATTAGCCAAGTAAAGGGAAGTTAAGGAACTTTAGAATGCTGGTGCTAAGTGGATAAGGATAGATTTACATGCAGGAAAACCCATCACCCTCCCGCTTATACGAGATTTAAGTTATTGGTGGCATCATTTCTCAAGCAATATTGGAAGTAGGGCTGGAACTAATTGTTATTTTTATAATCGATTAGTTGGCCGATTATTTTTTCTATTAAAATCGGATTTTAAAGAGTATCATCTTTTATTTAAAATAAAATACACAAATGGAGTGTTACAAACATAATGTTTACTTCAGAATAAAACTGCATGCACAATCTTTGCAATCGCACTTCACTGGAATGCACGGCATTATGGTACCATGCATTACAATGCTGGCTAAAATGCCGGGGGAGAGGTGTGTTTGGGGTGCCATTGAAATGAGTGGCACCGCAACGCACATCCCGCAGCAGAATTTGTCAGGCCAAAACAAGGGATGCACCGATACAGATACAGGCATCGGCGGCGATACCGAGTATTTGCATGAGTACTCGTGCAAATACTCAGATACAAAAAACAAGTACCTGTGCCGCGCCCGCCATCTTCAGGGACTCGAAACCGCCGCACACAGGACCTCCATCGCGTCCTGTGTGAAACAAGATGGCTGCGAACTCCTCCTCCAAGTCCTCAGTCATCTGCTCCATTCTGACCTCTTCTCCCGCTGATTGGCCGATTGGTGAGGAATCCTGTCATTATCCAATCCGCGGGAGAAGAGGTCAGAATGGAGCAGATGACTAGGCTGTGACACAGAGTGGCTGAAGCAGACGGAGAAGACACGACACAGCAGGTTAGTACTGCAGCATATATACCAAAAATATAAACCAGCCAACAAGAGTGGCTAGTTTAAAAAGGGCCAACAGAGGATCGGGACAAGTATTCCAATTACAAAAAGAGTTTATTAGATAAAATATCAGTTTTGGACATAAACATATCACTAACTGGTTTTAAAAAAAACAAAAAAACATACAATTATAAATCTTTAGGTATGCAGATCTGTTTGTATAGTGTGTATCGGTTTGTATATAAAAGTATCGGTATTCGGTCTTAAAAAAGTGGTATTGGTGCATCCCTAGCCAAAAATTAATTTTTTTCCCATCAGCTTTTTTCATTTAAAAAAAAAAATCAAATTTTATGTATTATATTAGACATTTTAATTCGTTTCATTGATTTAAAATAATCTGCATTGAAAAACTGGCTACAAGTCTCCTACCCAGCGTGAAAAAGGTGGCAGAGGGGGACATAGATGGTGGACACAGCGGTGGCACTGAGGCAGCATGGCGGCCGATGGTGGTATCTGCTCCCAAGGCAGCGGCTTCTTGTGAGGAGGAAAACGAAGAGCAGAGCAGCGTGCCGGGTGGGGGGTTTACAGGGAAAACAAAAGTTTTTTTCATAACAGATTCCTCCATCAACTAATCGGATGTGCATGGGCAACATCAGGTCCAGGTTTTTTCAAGACCCGGCTGAAGTTCGGGGTAACCGGGTGTAAACGGATGCCCATCCGTTTAGAACCGGCTGGCCATAGACTTACATTGGCCACCCGATCAGGTCTGCCTGAAAAAATGACAGGCGGACCCGATCAGACAACCTGTGTGAAAGGGGCCCAAGGGAAAATTCCCCCATCCATGCAGTTTAGCATGGATGGGGGAAACCAAGCATTTTCTTGTTCAGCCCACGGGGGGAATAGAGTAGGGCCAGCTTTAGTTGGCAAATCAATAGATGATCATTCCCATCAAAAAGAAACAAACAAAGCCGCCCTGGTGGAAAACACGACTGAATCTGAACAAATTGCACCTTTTTTTTTCTCCCTTTGTGGCCCTGAACAAATCTGTTTGAAAGAAAAGAATCTACAACTGTTCTACCATTTATCTTTCCACACATAGCCGTCATTGTACAACTGGATTCCTGAAAGCATAACCGGGGGTTTTGAAGACTTGGACAATAAACTGTCCTGCAATAAATTCCATATGTGGCTCATGGTCACTTGTTCTGGATGAATATGTCCGTAAGTTTAAAAGGTTAGGAACCTCTGCCCCAATGGGTGCGTGGGCAGTAAGTAGCCGGTTTAAAGCATAACGGTTTCCTAACATATAGCAGGGAATGTTTATATGCAGCATTTATCATGAAGTTAATACAAAGGGTCCAGCCGTGAAAACATGCTATGAAAGAACCAATCACCATTATCACCACCCCATACTGCTACACCATCTACTCTGAATGAGCCATAGGATAGCCTTCCAATGTATAGAAAAGCCCCATCACATGAAAAGAGGGGCTAAGCTCCACACAATAACCTGACAAACATAAAGGAAAAAAAAAAGAGAAATATAAATCAAGAGGTAACCTTCTAAACAAAGACATGCAAACCAACAGATAAAAATAGGTATTCACCAACTGGGAAACCGTGCTCTCCTACACTAGAAATACAAAAAGCAGCCTAAAGTACAACAATCGGTGCTGGAAAAGTCATTTAATTTGTCTCTAGAGTAAGGAAGGAGAAAAATAAAACCTCTACAAACCACACTCTGGGACTCCTTGTATGAATGGGTCCACCCTGAACATCAGGGGAAGCAAATAAAGCTGGAGAAGGATGTGAAAATAAATCTTTTTTTTTTTTATTATTGATGTACATCAAAAATGTCAACATTAAAACATCCTTGCCTATATATGTACATAGAAAACCCCAAAACAAATAAATAGGTCAATTATACGGAGTATGCCCTTTGTAGAGTCCCCTGCAAGGATTGTACAACTAGTGTGAGCCATGTTCCAGAGCAAACTAAAGAAAGCATTTCATACGCCATGAAAAAAGAAGGGGTGTCAAATCTCTGGAAATGCAACCCCACATCAATCAGATACACATGAAATACTTGACTGCTATGCAATCACATCCATCAAACAAATGCCAAGTCCATATACAGGAGTAGTCCCAAAGTATGTTTTGTAGAGGGGGGGAGGGGGGTTGCCCCTCTCCACTGTATGTTTTCACTTAGTGTGATAGAGAATATACATACACACACACACACACACACACACACACACACACGTGTACACGTACATACACACACACTTTGGTAATAGACAAGAGAAGAGATAGAACCCTTCCCTTGTCTATTACTAATCCTGACAGAAACCTGTCAGGTTTTCATCCTTACCTACATTCCAACTGGGGAGATTCTCTGTTTGCTCTGGTAACCATTGTCACTGGGGGGACTCCACATTTTGAGCTGTTACCATAACAAGCAGAGGGGCCACCTTCCAGTGGGGACACTTGTACAGCTGCTGACGCAGACTCGATCCCCTTGACATAGCTATACAATTAGTTGTAAGCTAAACTGATCCCGTGTGAGATAAATAGAAATACATACATTAGCACTCGTATGCTCAAAACATTTATAGACAGCGCTACAACTTGTTATTTACAGGGACATTGGTGTCCCCAATCTACACTACCTCAAGAGAGTTACAGAAGCATTTTGGGGATTGGTCATTACTTTGTTGATCAGAGTAATAAATGAAGGTGAACTAGCCCCATGTCTGTAGTAAGGATATATGACTGGAGGCCCCCTAGAGACGGGTCTGATGCCATTCTCTACAGGCCGCTATAACGCACAGCTGCTGGTGTGTATTGCCAGACACAATGAGGTTGCTCCCATCCTGGCACATCAGTGTTTACCATTTTCTTTGTTCGCACCTTATTGAAATATCACCAGTGACGTCTCATTAAGTTCAAAGGCAACAGTGCAGAGTGGTGCGCTTAAACCACATCGTGGCCTGCTGCGCTGAAAAGATTGCATGCAGTATTTTTTTTTTAGGTCACACCAATGCAACCCAGTAGGGTGAACTGAGGACATTCAAAACAAAGCAAAATTGCCTTAGCTAGCATTGGGGCTGTGCTAGAAAAAGCAGCTAGCACAGCCCCAATGAATCCAGCCAGAAAGTCACCCAGGCTAGGGTCACATGGGCAGTAAAAACAGGAGGTTGGTCTACGGTTTCACTGCCCACCTACAAAATAACACAGCAGACACACGGAACCATCCACATCGGGGCAGTATTTGCAACCATTTTATCTGAGCAGATTGGGGCCAGGGGGCATGGCCTACCAAACGTGCCCATTAAAGTCAATCATCACCATCAACAGCTGCATGGCACTGTATTTCACTGTAATATCACCCATGGGATGGAAAAAATATATATACACAGGCACCAGTATGGCCTCCTCAATGCCTGCAAGCCACAGCAGATCACTTTCTAGGGACTGAGGCCTAAAGAAGCCGAGGATGTTCACACCAGAAATGTTGTGTTTATATTTACGCCCCAGTCGTGTACAGATGGAACAAAACAGGTATTTGCCCATCACATGACCAGATCATTGAAGAGAATCTTCACACATTTTATTGGGTGCACATTCCTTTAGTAGATCAGCCTCGATGTGTTAGCCCCCCTATAATAAATAATACTGCCCCCCTCCCCCTTTAGAGGAGAGTAGGCCGGCTGGCGGTGTATCATGGACTAGAGGCACACAAAGACAAATGGATACATACCCGGGGTGAGCCGGCGGTCAACGCCCAGCTGAGGGGATTGTTGGCCTAGCGGACTCTCGGGCCTCATGCCGCATCTCTGGGGGGACGGTGTGGCGGGGGAACCCGGGAGAGGGGTGCACCGACGGCGCTTCGGAGACTGTGGGCTCATCAAGGCCTCAAATTCCATAGAGCGCTTCAATGTCGCTCCGCAGGCCATGGTCGCCCTGATCGATCCAAATCAGATCACACAGAAATCTACCGAATGGCCGGGAGGAGGGCTGTACCGGTAAGGCACCGATCGGTATGCTCAGCTTCTCCTTTTCAGATAAGTTCAGACCTCAGCAATGGCGACTCCTCCCCGGCAACCGGCCAACTGCCGCGATTGTGACGTCACTATACGGAAGCTCCCACTTCCCCAGCGACGGGGGGAGCTAGATTCTCCGGACCTTTAGCGGCTGGAAAGAGGAGAGGGGAGGGATTGGAGGGTGCAGAATGTGCGTATGCCCTACGAGGAATTCGAGTGATATGAGAGGGAGAAGGGAAAGTGTTGAAGTTCTTTTACTGTCGTGTCTGTCGGCGGTAATGGCACGTTCCAATACATATGCTAATTCTTCAGTGGCAGAGGTCAGAGGGGCTTCTCAAGGGAGAGAGGAATACGTGGGGAGATAAGGGTGTCTGGCCAGGAAGTAGGGTGAGGGTTTGTGCATAGTCAGGAAGTGAGGAGAGATAGGGTGTCTGTGCCAAACAATTAAAAGAAGGGGGGGTGTATGCCCAACTAGAGGGGAATGTCCAGCAACTGGGGAGTGGATGAGGTATATGCTCAGCAAATGGGGTGAGGAGGTGGTGTATACCCAGTGAGAAGAGAGACTGTCTGTGCCCAACAAGTAGAATGAAGAAGTGGTGTACACCCAGTGAGAAGAGGGGGTGTCTTGTCTATGCCCAACAAGTGGGGTGAGCAGGGTGTGTCTACCCAGTAAGAAGGGGGTGTGTATGCCCAGTGAGAAGGGATGTGTATACAAAGTCATGTCTATGACAAGGGAGAAGTGTATACCTAGTAAGAGGGGGTGGTGTCTATGCCCAATAAGTGGGGTGAGGAGAGGGTGTACACCTAGCAAAAGATAAGAGGAGGGGGTGGTGTCTATGCCCAATAAGTGGGGTGAGGAGAGGGTGTACACCTAGCAAAAGATAAGAGGATGGGGTGACTATGACCAACAAGTAGAGAGAGAAGGGGGTGTGCATGCCCAACAGGTGGGGAGAGGAGGGGATTTATACACTGCAAAAAATGAGGAGGGGTTGTCTATGGCCAACAAGTAGAGAAAAAAGGGGGTGTCATTGACCAAGGAGATGAGGGTATCTATACCCAACAAGTGGGTACAAGGTGGTGGTGTGTAACCAGCAACTGAGGAAAGGTACACCTGTGCCCAAAAGTTGTGGGAGCCCAGCAAGTGTGGAGAAGGTGGTGTCTAGGTCTAAAACGTGACCTGGTGTATACTTAGAGAGGTGGACGCGCATCAAATGCACACAAACGCGTAGTCAAATAAACACGGGAAGCTCACAGCTGAAAATGCTGCATGAGCTTCTTTGCAGCTTGGAGTAGTCTATTGAAATAAATGGACTGATGCATGGCAAAAACACATGTGAACCCAACACGCATGTATGCATTGTGAAAGTGTGAATGAGGTCTTATTGTCTATGCAGCACACCACATCACTCAGTAGTTCAATGTGGAGGTGCATTGGGGTGCCATTTAAAATTAATAGCATTGCAACACACTTAATGTGCGTTACCACAATGCAGTGGTCTGAAGGACTCTTACGGATAAGGTTATGGTTAAATAAAACCTGTCAGGAGAGAAACTTGGAGGATGCCATTCCTGACTTTTCTATCTGAGAATTCTAATTACCTGACTCTATGATAAAGTTGGGAAACCGTCTTTGGGGCCCAGCAGTCTAAACAACTCGAGACCCATCTCCTTGCTCCCATTTACCTCCAAACTTCTTGAACGGCTGGTCTACAACCGCCTGAGCCGCCACCTTACAGTTTACAATCTCCTTGACCCGTTTCAATCTGGCTTTCGTCCCCAACACTCCACAGAAGCTGCCCTTCTAAAACTTACTAACGATCTACTAACTGCTAAAACCAATGGCCACTACTCTGTACTCATACTTTTAGACCTTTCTGCTGCCTTTGACACCGTTGACCACCAGCTTCTCCTTAATACACTCCATTTCCTTGGCCTCCAAGACTCTGATTTCTCATGGTTCACCTCCTACCTATCTCAGCGCACCTTCAGTGTCACCTACAATTCTACCTCCTCTTCCCATGAGGGTCCCCCAAGGGTCTGTCCCTGGGCCCCTTCTATTCTCTATCTACACTTCTTCCCTGGGTCAATCGATAGCCGCCCATGGCTTCCAATACCATCTTTATGCCGATGACACCCAAATCTATTTCTCCACTCCTCAGCTCACCCCTCTGTCTCTTCACATATCTCAAATCTACTCAGTGACATCTCAGCATGGATGTCACACCACTACGTCAAACTCAATCTGTCAAAAACTGAGCTTTTAATATTTCCTCCTCTCCGTGTTCCCTCCCCCAACTTCCCCATCACAATCAACAACACTACGATCAAATACCCCCGCCCCCCCATCAAGCCAGGGTACTCGGTGTTATCCTTGACTCTGAGCTCTCCTTTCAGCCCCACATCCAATCACTATCCAAATCCTGGCGACTCAACCTCCGTAACATCTCCAAAATACGACCCTTTTTAACAAACGAAACCACAAAGCTTCTAATTCACACCCCTTATAATCTCTCACCTTGCCCACTGTAATTCCCTCCTTGTTGGCCGACCACTAAGCTGGCTATCCCCTTCAGTCTACCATGAATGCTGCTGCCAGACTCATTCACCTTACCAACCGTTCAGTGTCTGCCGCCCCTCTCTGCCAATCCCTCCACTGGCTCCCAATTGCCCAACAAATACAATTCAGAATACTAAGAACAACATACAAAGCCATCTACAACTCCGTCCCCAACCGACATCACTGACCTCATCTCAAAATATCACCCAAACCATCCTCTCCGCTCCTCTCAAGAACTCCTGCTCTCTAATTACCTCCTCCCACGCTTGCCTCCAGGACTTCTCCAGAGTGTCCCCCATCCTCTGGAACTCCTTCCAATCAGTCCAACTATCTCTTACGCTGGCCACCTTTAGGCGATCCTTAAAAACCCATCTCTTCAGGGAAGCCTATCTCATCTCAACATAACTGCCTTATACTTCTTCCAATAACTTAATTTAAACAATTATTACCTTTTGTATCACTTGCCCCTCCTACTAGATTGTAAGCTCTCACGAGCAGGGCCCTCATTACCGTATTGCAGGGGCGCCCACTATTTTTCGTCTGGAGATCTACTTTTCAAATGACGAGCTCATTGAGATCTACCAACAAATAAACACCTGCATTCAGGGGCGGGAGGGGGCGTGGCGGTGCATTGAAGTCAATGGCACCGCAGGCAGGCCCCTCGCCCACAGTGCGATCACCTGCATTAGTGCCTGTGTTCAAGTCCAGTTCGATCCGCAAAAATGCTGCGAGCACTATTTTTGCAGGTCGCACTGGACCGGAATGCAGGCACTAATGTGCCTGCATTCCGAGTGCGGGCGATCGCAATGTGGGCGATGCCATTGACTTCAATACAGCTCCACACCCCCTCCCGCACCGGAACGCAGAGAGTCGGCCGGCTTACATTCCAGTGCGCCCTACATGTCCGAATGCATATGAATGGTTAACAACACAGGAGCACAGTTGGAGAAAGTTGTCACCCCATAACAGGAAGTGCTGAAAGTTGACCTTTGGCAGAACCATCAGGAATTTGTTTTAACAAAAGCCGCTAGTGCGGCCACCTCAATACCGGTATGTTACAACTCCTTTGTTACCAGGTTATTTTTGGGGCATGTAATAGTGTACCCACATGATTTTTATATAATTTTTCTTTAGACAGATTGAGCTTTCTTTTGTTCGCATTTAATAACCACTGTTTTTTTTTATTTTTTTACTATATAAAGGAAAAAAGGTGGCTGGACAATGGCAAACCAATTGCAGCCTGCCTCAGTTTTTTGCTAGTGCCTTTAGGTAATGGACATCCTCTCTTTCTCTCTCTCTCTGCTGTGAGAAAAGTACTTTTCTTTTACTTATTTTTAGGGATGCACCGATACTAGTATCTGTGCCGTTACCAAATATTTGAGTACTCGTACTAGCCCAAATGCTCCGATGCCTAGCCCGATACCCGAAGTTCCGGTATCAGGAAGCCAGGCAGCGAGTCATTACACGCTGCCCGGCTCCTTGATTGGCCTGGGAAGCCGACTCCATGCTCCCTCGTCACTTGGTGACAAGGGAATATGGAGCCGGCTTCCCGGCCAATCAGGAAGCCGGGCAGCGTGAAATTACTCGACGCCTGGCTTCCTGATTGGTCGAAAAGCTGGCCAATCAAGAAGCCAAGCAGCGAGTCATTACCCGCCCTACAGCTTTCTGATTGGCCAGAAATCCGGCTCCATGCTTCCTCGTCATCAGGAGACGGTTTCCCTGCTAATCGGGAAGCCGGGTGGCGAGTCTTTACACACCCCGCCTACTTCCCGTCTAATCAGGAAGCCAGGTGGTGAGTCATTACACGCCACCTGGCTTCCTAATAGGACTTTCGGTATCCGTGATTGCCGGAAAAAAGATATATCGGTAGTCGATACCGAAAAACGGGTATCAGTGCAATCCCTACTTATTTTCTTCTGCAAATTTCTTTGAGTAAGGTTGCCTAAGTGCCTCCAGCAACTATGCAGATCGGTGATCTCAGCAAAGCCATGACTGACTGTACCCAGACCCCGACAGAAGGGGGGCCAGGGTGAGCGTAATGAGCTTTTACAGGTCCACGGCCATAGTCCATGGAGAGCCCTCACTCTCCTGTACGATTATGGGGACTGGGATCACCCTGAAAAAATGTTTTCTTCCCCTAAACATTTTGTTAAGCAGTACCATATTGAGGATGACTTCGCTAATACGTGGACGGGCCTTAAGGTGCCCATACACCTTACGATTATCGTACGATAATCGTATGCGATCGACTTTTCGTACGACAATCGTAACGTGTGAATAGAGTGCCCGACCGATAGTACTGTACAATCGTACGACTTTTGACGGTCAAGCATGTTTGAAAACTTTGGTTGATCGTACGATGTTCGCATGGTTGGTGGCGTTTCCGTCCGTCAAAAGTCATACGATTAACACTGCGCATGCGCAAACGAAAATAATTGCGGTCAATTACCGCAAGTCGTCCAGGTGTTTTTTTCTAACTACCGCTGATTGAACCTTGCGATAATCGGGGCAGGATGGGGCCGTCGTA